TTTCTACCTTTTTTGTCGTTAACACTTGAAATTTCCTACATTCTACAATAAAACTTCAGGCCTGAACAGCAGTAACACACATACACCGTATAGATACAGGTAATGCTAATGTTTTTCGCAGAGATTTTGCAACATCACCACATTACAACAACAACAAAAAACGGCAACAATTGAACCGAAACGATCAGATTTAGACAATACAAAGCGCCAACTGTTTGACGTGGTACCGATGCGGAAACTTGAGGCATCATGGAGACGGCAGATTTTCACCGTCGGTGACTTGCTTGATGCCATTAATTTATTGATTACAAATGTCAAGCAAATCCCTTACGATGCTATTTATAGCAGCAGATCGATGGCGGATAAAAAAAATAATATTGCTTTAGCGATTACCTCAATGTGGCTCTCGCGTCAGTGGGTAGAGAGTTAATTTTACACTTGGTTGGAAGCGGTTATCACGTGATGCTGCTGAATTTCATAACTTTCATATCGACGGCATTCAAATGGTGGTATTTCATGGGTGGATGGGTGGTTGGTGGATGGGTGGATACGTGGATGGATGGGTGGATGGAGCAATGGGTGGGGGGAAGTTGTTAGGGTAGTCGGACGGATGGACGGTTGGATGGATAGATGGAGGGACGGATGGATGGATAGATGGAGGGACGGATGGATGGATAGATGGAGGGGCGGTTGGATGGATAGATGGAGGGACGGATGGATGGATAGATGGATGGATAGATGGAGGGACGGGTGGATTGATGGGTGAATGGATGGATGGATGGACGGATGAATGGATGGATGGAGGGACGGGTGGATTGATGGGTGAATGGATGGATGGATGGACGGATGGATGGACGGATGTCATGAATGAAGTTATGGGTGGAGAGATGGGTGGGTTGGTAAGATAGACTGAAGGATGTGTGCGATTTGGTATATCAATTGTTGGGTGGTTAGAAAGATCAGTAAGTGAATCCACTGATTAATAAACGAAAATGTTATATCAATAGATATTTAAACGGATGAATACATTTATATAACGTAAAGCATTTTATTTCGTTACTAAAAACGATTTCCCATAATCTGGTAAACCCACATTAATTTTCAAGACAATGACATACAACAAAAGGTCCCTGATCATGGGACACAGCCTAGCAACTCATCAAACCAATCCAATGGACTCAGCACAATCAGGTGTCTTTTACCCTCGCGATCTGCCGTTTCTTCTCGCTTTTCTCGTCTTTAATTTATTTCGCTTGTCACCTTCTCGGTCAAGTCAAGTATTCATGAGTTATTTTTAGTAACAAAAGAAAATGCTTTAGAGTTTATTGATTTGTTTTCTGGTTTTCATTTCAACTGGTTAAACAGGTCCTCAACTGGTTAAACAACAGGCCCGCGTTTATGCCGTGCTAACAGTTTCATTAAAAATTACATTCACAGTTCTCCATGCTAAGTAGAAAAAAAAAGTTGATACGTTAACAAGCAAAATCATGAGGGAATAGCAACCCTAACCTAACCAAATAGCCATGCCCTAACCTAACCAAATAGCCATGTCTTAACCTAACCAAATAGCCTTGTCTTACCGACATCCACTACATCTAGCACTACAAAAAGCCTTACACGTAGCATAAAAAACCCGAACCATCCAAATACTTTTAAAATCGATTTTCCGTTATTTCTATTTTGTTTGCGTTAGCGTTTTATTTGAAGCGAGACTTCCACAGTAAAGTCTACTGAATTTAACGATTTTATACGTTGGTTATCTGATAGATGAAATAACATAGCCGGCACAGTCGCATCCAAATTATTTTCACATCACATGCTCAGTAAAGAACGTTTTCTTGAACTATCTTTAATCAGGAAATGTAGTTTCCTATTTACAATTTTGTTTGTCAACTGTATTTTCTTATTTTATACAACCTTTACTAAAAATGCCTAGAAAATAAAACATTATACATGATGCCTGTATATCTACTATAGACGACACAACCAAATAGATAACACACGGTACTTAATGTCATTGGCCCTAGGTCTGATACATTATCCCCGGTCAATTACCCCTACACTAGGTTAATCCCTCTACCCGTCATAACCCCTCCCCCTCCAGATCATTTACAGTATGATAATTACCATCACCTCATATTAATTACCCCTTGATTTTACATATTTTACTTAAATATTCATAGCCGTCTCCTTATTTATCTCCTTAACCTTATCCCTATCCATTATAATAACTCTATCCCTAACCATAACCTATTCTTCACCATCCCTATCCTTAACATTATCCTTAACCCTAGCCTCACTAAGTATAGGGTCAATAATGAATTAACAGAAGGACAATCCCCAGCTCTCGTAGCCCCATCTACTGACCATGTCGAGTGCTGAATCAGTGCTTTGATCTCCCTGCTGGACCAGTCCCCTAGTTTAATGGAGTTGTTTAAAACGGGCACGGGTTCTATTCGATCTTTTGTTTCTTTGACGCATGCAATTTAAAAAACGCGATCAAATTATTAGCCGGATGAGACTTTAATTAATGAAAGAAATTTGAATTCTTTTCTTTTGTTGCGTCAAGGCACTAGTTTCTGCAACCTATGAAACATTTGAACACCTTAATTTAAATTTATGTACAAGTTAATTTAAATATCTGTACATATTAAAATAAATCTTAGTAGACGTTAATTTAAATCTTTGTACACATTGTGTTAAATATTTGTGTACCAACTAATTTTTAAATATGTACACGCTAAGTTAAATATATGCATTTAAAAAATATGTGTACGTATTAATTTAAATCTTTTTACACATTTAATATATACATATACCAATACATATTTTTCTTAAATGTAGACATGTATTTGAATTCTAATAACTTAAGTACACATTTTATTGCAATCTTAACTTTTCTTTCTGCTGTTGTTTTTGTGTATTGTCGCAATTTAAACAAATGTGTAGATCTACTGACATATATTTTTGCTGCCTGGCTGTGATCGTGACCATTGGAGATGGGGAGGTTGGGGGGATATGTAGTTTGATGCTTTGTTTATAAAAATTCGTCACGATTCTTCTCAGTTTTAATCTCGGGCTAAAGTGGATCATTTTAATAGCTGATCTATTTATAGCATGCCAGTATCGTGGCAAAATGATCCTACATCGATGGTTTTTTATGTCACGTTCAGTGTAACGGTTGTCACGTTCTGTGTAATGGTTAAGTCACGTTCGGTGTAACGGTTAAGTCACGTTCGGTGTAACGGTATTTTAAGGCACCCTCACCAAACAAAAGAGGAAAAATAATTGTGTACATTTGTCGGTCTAAGAACAAAATGGTCGCCTATTTATTATTCATGATTATTTTTCATACGTTGGTTTGTTCATAATACTTTAAATATAATTTTATTTAACCTGCAAATCCCCCCCCCCCGTTCAACGTCTCCCCCATCCCCGCAATATATATATATATATATATATATATATATATATATATATATATATATATATATATATATATATATATATATATATATATGTATATATATATATATTAGATAATCTACTCCCACACCCCTCCCCCCACTCAATACGCCACTAATTCTAAGACTAGGTAGGCCACCATCTATTTTAGCTTTGGTCTTGAGTCAATAAAAGCTTTAATTGATTAACCATTTAACCAGGAGGTCGTCGCATAGCGACGTTTGTACTTTAGCCGACTGGCTCTTTAGCCCTTTAGCCCCTGAGTGTTGACATATTTAGCCGGCTCGTGTCCACAGAATAGTACATTCTACATTGGTTGGTTCATTACTTCCTCAAGCAAGGCTTCACGGCATCAAACTTGGTTCATAACACGGATGAAATGAGAAAATATTTACCTCCCCTGATTGTGTATAACTTAGAAGAGTTCGCTCTAAATTTTAAAAACAAATGTGAATGTTTCAGGATTAAAAATGTTCTGGATTCTTCGATTGGAATTTGTTAAGCCATCTCTACGGACCGGAAGTGTACGACTTACAATCAAACGGCACTTAGAGACTTGGCGGTACCGATGTCAGTAGACAGGAAGTCGATAGCGGCTTTATGAGAAAACAGAAATGTCTGCGGCCGGTGATCGGACAAAAAGGTTCCGGTGTGAAATCATATTTCGCAATGGCGACACGAGAGAGTTAATGCTCTCGGGGACGTAACTCCGTCTAGAAAAAAATAAAACCAGCTTGGCATTGTCTCCCGTGTCAACTCAAGGGAAGATAAACTATTCAGCGCTAGTCGAGCTTTATTTTGATTGCGCCCCCTGTTCTATTTTTGTCCTGTTATTTCCTCAAGGAAGAAATTAAAAGATACGACCTTTCTCTGCTCAGATAATGTTCTATTCAAGAATGAACTTCTGAGCGCGAATGTAATTCCTATTTAATTTGCTAGTTGATAGGAATAAAATAAAATGTAAGCTGTACTTTAATACATGTTACAAATACTAAGTTGCCAATTTCAGCAAGTGTAGAGATATACTTTATTTGTTTCACAGTGGGTCGTCCTATAGCCTGGTCTTTCGATAACTATTTTATAACCAGAAAAGTTTAAGGTCGTCCTACACACAATTTTATATATATATATATATATATATATATATATATATATATATATATATATATATATATATATATATATATATATATATATATATATGTAAATATATATAAAATTGTGTGTGTGATGTAAGTTCCCCTTTCAAACCTGACGGTCTATAGGGCAAGTGAAGTAGAGTTCACTTGTTTCTGTGACCTCGGTATATGAAGAGATAGTGTGGTCAGCACTATGCCCAGCCGTGTGATGTGTATTATTAAAAAAAGGATTTACACACACACACACACACACACACATATATATATATATATATATATATATATATATATATATATATATATATATATATATATATATATATATATATATATATATATATATATATATATATATATATATATATATATATATATGAATATGTTGACAGTGCTTACCTTAGACGCCTCCCTCCATTTGACGATGAAAGGACCTGAGCAAGTTTTTTTATCCTTCATAGTAGCGACTGGCTGGACAGAGAGTCTCGTCAGGGGCATAACTCCTCCAGGATAGTTTTCACATTGTAAACAAACGTAAACCGAGACAGCAACACGTTGTTTCGTTTTTTTAATTAATCCGCCCGTATCCTCTACGTCATCAGTGAGTGTGTGTGCGACAGCCGTCTGCTGACTTAGACAAAGGGAAATTGGATCCGTTCGGCAGAGGGTCTAGGTAACAAGGACCCTGGCACATGCGGCGGTCCCGTCCCCCCACCCCCGGCCTTCCAGGGCGACCAGCAGACGACGCTGCGATCAGTTCGCGCCGTGGGAATCTCCAGCCTAGAAAATCAATAACACAAAAATTAGATAATAATGGCGCCGGCACGTTCATTAGATTTTTTGTTCACTCGGCAAACGATGAATTAGATATTCTGGCAATTATTGACCAGCCGGCTCAGCACGATTACAGTTAATCAAAATGGGATCGATACCAGTTATATATAGGTGCACGTGCAAAGCGTGAGCGAAAGTTATTTTTAGCCCCGCTTGGTTTAAAGAGGCAAAAGCTTACTAGTGGGAGAAAGCGAAACAGATTTTTTAAGAAAAAGATTTTAACAGTGTAAGATTTTTTACTTAAATATGAAATTTCGTCTACCTAAATAAAACAGTACTTAAGTTATCTTTTTTCCACAAAATAGAGTCAAATTCAACTTCCGGTTAGCGGAAATTGTTCAAAAGCTGTTCGAAATATGCGTATACAATCGAATATTTGAATGTACAATTTCGTCTACCTAACTTTAATGGTACTTAAGTTGTCGGCTATTAGAGACAGGAGGTTGAGTATGTATCACTTCCGGTTACCGGAAATTGGTCAAGAGTTGATAGAAAACTACTAATTTAATATAATGCTTGTTTATGAAATTTGGTCAATATAACGTTGACGGTACATAAATATCTTGGTTACACACATACACACACAGACGGACAGGATGTCAGATATAAATGTCGATTTTTAGTGTTTGTGCAAGGGAACAGTTCTTCCTCAATACTCTGTAATCGAGAAAGTAAAAAGACATACCTAGGATCATTCGCCCTTTAAATTAATTCTAGAACAAGCTGTAAAAAATTGTGAGTAGAACAACAGTCTGCAACAGTTGGAAAAAAAAAACCTGCGCATGCGTGCGAATAAGTCGTAAAGCTACCGTGAAACATAACACGAGAACCTTGAACACAGTTAAAGTATGTAGGCCTACAGGCTGCAGGGAAGGTTTTCATTTCGTCTGGCCCTGGGGATCGGGTGTTGTTGGAGTCACGTGACTGTGTACTGGTCGACTGTGTGTGCTATGCCATCGCACACACAACATCAACACTGTACAACAACATCACACATACAACATATACACGCTACAACAACATATCACACAACATCAACACGCTATAAAAACATCTAACGCACAACCTCATCACGGTACAACATCACACACAACATCAACACGCTACAACAACATCTCACACACAACATCAACACGGTACGACAAAATTACACACAACATCAACACGCTACAACAACATCTCACACACTACATCAGCACGCTACAACAACACGGTACAACAATCTCACACACAACATTTACACGGTACAACAACATCTCACACACAACATCTACACGGTACAACAACATCTCACACACAACATCAACACGCTACAACAACATCTCACACACAACTTCAACACGGTGATTCTGTCGTCGATTACCAAACCGTCCGCTGGTTGATCGATAATCAATACCTCTGTGACATTCATCAGATGTTAAAAAAAAAACAAATTTTGTATTGATCCGCTTTGTTGACAAAATAGATCTATGTTATTATATGTACCGTGATGGGCCGACCAAAATATGAAGGAAAACCTAATAGAGGACACATGCCTTACAGTATCAGCAGGTTTAGCTCTTATAGGAGTAATGTACTTTATATTGATATATTTTGCTAGTATAAGTAATAGGTTTATATTCTATGCTGTCTGTACCCACAGTAAGTAGAAAACACGCCTGGGACCAATAGACCAGTACAGCACAAGCATGGGACCAAGAGACCAGTACAGCACAAGCATGGGACCAATAGACCAGTACAGCACAAGCATTGGACCAAGAGACCAGTACAGCACAAGCATGGGACCAAGAGACCAGTACAGCACAAGCATGGGACCAATAGACCAGTACAGCACAAGCATGGGACCAAGAGACCAGTACAGCACAAGCATGGGACCAATAGACCAGTACAGCACAAGCATGGGACCAATAGACCAGTACAGCACAAGCATGGGACCAATAGACCAGTACAGCACAAACCTGGGACCAAGAGACCAGTACAGCACAAGCATGGGACCAAGAGACCAGTACAGCACAAGCATGGGACCAAGAGACCAGTACAGCACAAATATGAGACCAGTACAGCACACTACACCCAAATGTTGAGCACCAGAAACCCCCGAGACCGACATCGAGAGAAGAAATGTAAACACAGCTGGGGTGTCCTGGGTGAGAGGCGATGAATGCTCGTGTCTAGAACTCAATCGATTGCTTCACGAGGGGTTATGTAACACTGTACACGTCACGAGCTAATCTAAGACACGTTGCGAGAGGTTATCTAAGACACATCACGAGGGGTTATCTAAGACACATCACGAGGGGTTATCTAAGACACATCATGAGGGGTTATCTAAGACACATCACGAGGGGTTATCTAAGACACGTATTGAGAGGTTATCTAAGACACGTAGTGAGAGGTTATCTAAGACACATCACGAGGGGTTATCTAAGACACATCACGAGGGGTTATCTAAGACACATCATGAGGGGTTATCTAAGACACATCATGAGGGGTTATCTAAGACACATCACGAGGGGTTATCTAAGACACGTAGCGAGAGGTTATCTAAGACACGTCACAAGGTTATCTAAGACTCATCACAAGGTTATTTAAGACACACTACGAGAGGTTATTTAAGACACATCACGAGAGAATATCTATTCCGAGGGGTTATCGAAAATACGGTAGGAAGGAACTTATATCCAACACGTTCTATAACCCACACATTGCAAAACCCTCGCGTTTTATAACCTACAGGTTCCATAACCGACACAACGGATAATCCACCATAACCATCATAAATTCCCCCTCAGGGCCACCAACTCCTGACAGCGAGAGATTTATTTGTGAGTAGTTCCCCTTGACCCATGTACGAGGACTGTCCCAGGGTCCTTTCCCTACCTCTGAGTGACCAATAATAACGTCAATATTTTCGGCGAATAAATTATTTATTCATAGAAAATACATACCTGTTAAATATTTGTCAAACCCCCATAACGTGCGTTCATTTTGTGTTGGGGATAAATAATAACTGACACGGTCGATGTATGCTGATGAACCGCATCCGTTTAGCCGAATACCATATGCAATTTACCAAACAACCATATTAATTTCAAAACTATACCAAACGAATTTAATTATTAAAAAAAACACACACAAATTATAACTGAATACCACATACATTTTAACAAACAGCCGAAACAATTTTCGATATAGCAAACATTAAAACAAACAAAACACCTCAATGCTCGGTGTTAAAACAAAATCTGTTGTCGACACAGTGTACCCGTCTAAAATAGTAGAAAAATGACTAAAGGTAGAGTACAGTGTTGGGAAGGCGTGGTTGGGTGCGAGAGCATACTTTTGCAAGCTCCAGATGTCCCGAGTTCAAACCGCGGGCAGATGATGCTCATTAGCCCAATATCAATCAACAGCTGCCTTGTGGTTTGTTCTTTGATAGACACAAAAAAGGCTGACTGCAGTCGGAGACAACAGCTTATATGCCATTATGTTGACACGTAGTACTTAATTGTGTTGAATTAAATCCCACTCAATATTACAATTAACAACGAAGAAGAAGAGATAGAACGGTAAAGTACTCACAGACTAGACTGATAAAGTACTCACCTTACAGGCTAGGCTGGTACTCACCTTACAGACTAGACTGATAAAGTACTCACCTTACAGACTAGGCTGGTACTCACCTTACAGACTAGACTGGTACTCACCTTACAGACTAGACTAGTACTCACCTTACAGACTAGACTAGTACTCACCTTACAGACTAGACTAGTACTCACCTTACAGACTAGACTAGTACTCACCTTACAGACTAGACTAGTACTCACCTTACAGACTAGACTAGTACTCACCTTACAGACTAGACTAGTACTCACCTTACAGACTAGAATGTAGACCGGTGGTACTTACCAGACCAAAGCACGTGTCGGATAACGTCTGTCCTAACACAGTCCTTGTGATGACTCCCGGGACTCGCCAATCACTGCGACACGATCGATCTCCAGCTCGCCAATCACTGCGACTCGATCGATCACCAACTCGCCAATCACTGCCACACGATCGATCACCAGCTCGCCAATCACTGCGACACGATCGATCTCCAGCTCGCCAATCACTGCGACTCGATCGATCACCAACTCGCCAATCACTGCCACACGATCGATCACCAGCTCGCCAATCACTGCCACACGATCGATCACCAGCTCGCCAATCACTGCCACACAATCGATCACCAGCTCGCCAATCACTGCCACACGATCGATCACCAGCTCGCCAATCACTGCCACACGATCGATTCCCGGCTCGCCAATCACTGCCACACGATCGATCACCAGCTCGCCAATCACTGCCACACGATCGATCTCTGCTCAGTCACGTGACACCCGGTGCCTACTGTAAGGTTGTTTTTTTTTTTTCCAACGGTTGTTAATGTTTATTTTGACGGCGTGGAAGTGCTAGTGTGTGGGCGAAAGTATTGTGTTCTGCTACCGTCACTCGCTAAATGGGTAATGTAAACCCAAACCACACGTTCTGTGGGTCCCATAGTAATCACACTCCAGTAATCATTAATTAACAGATGAGATGGTTTTGTTTGATCAATGAATATTTAAGCGGTAAGTGTACGTCAGGTTTCTACCGTTATCGATTACATACGTCAGTGATCGATACACGATTGTAAATGGATGCCAACAAGTTTTATGAATTTTGTATTTGCTTTGATGAATTCATGCAGTTTGTTTTTTTCATTGGCATCAATGTCCGTGTATACGTATGTGTGTGTGTGTGTGTGTATCTGCGAGTGTTTGCGTGTGTTTGTCTGTGTGTCAGTGTGTCTCATTGTGCTTGTGTGTATGTGTATGTATGTATGTGTGTGTTTGTGTGTGTCTGTGTGTCAGTGGGTGTGTGTGTCAGTGTGTATGTGTGTGTATGTGTATGTGTGTGTGTTTTCTACATTAAAAAATTTCATTGACCTACACGTCAATTTTTACATATATTTTTTTTTTATTTTTATCGTTACAATTTAAAATACAAGTATATTTTAATTACAAATATACCTCTAGTTTGACATTTATACTAGAAAGATGGCCATTGAAACCAACAACCAATATGACCAACCCGTGTGTAGCAGTAAGCAGATGGCAGATCATTTTCTAGGAGTGTACTTGTTGGCCCTGTACAAAAAAAAACGTCGGCCCAAATTCTTGCAGACGTAACGACCTTTCTATGGGCAGCTCGTAGAAAGGAAGAGATTGTGGAATTTCATTAATTAAATTACGTTTCCAGGCTGGGGTTGAGAGATTTCTAGCGAAATATTTTTTTTTATTAGCTTATATTTTTGAACATCTAATGAATTCGTTTGACCCCCCTCCCCAACACTCCACCCCCCTCCCCCAGTCACACACACATCTATACATAGTAGTGGTAAAAAATCAGATTCATTGTTGACCTAATGAATGACTTAATGAAAGACTTAATGAATGACTTAATGAAAGACTTAATGAATGACTTAATGAATGACTTAATGAATGACTTAATGAATGATTCTAGATCAGCCTTCTTGTTGCCCCAATGTTAAAGACAGCAGTTTCCAAACTAAGACTTTCTTTATGTATGTTTATGTGTACACGGCATGCGGCATGCAGTATGCGGTATGCGGTATGCGGTATGTGGTATGTGGTATGTGGTATGCGGTATGCGGTATGCGGTATGTGGTATGTGGTATGTGGTATGCGGTATACGGTATGCGGTATGCATTATTCAGTATTCGGTATTCGGTATTCGGTATGCGGTATGCGGTATGCGGTATGCGGTATGCGGTATGTGGTATGCGGTATGCGGTATGTGGTATGCGGTATGCGGTATGCGGTATGCGGTATGCGGTATCCGGTATGCGGTATACAGTGTTTGTGTTCGTGTTTCGTATGTAAAGTTTTCATCTAATCAGATCTGAAATGTAAAGCTGCCAATTTGTCTACAGCTCAAGTGAAAACTTTTCATGTAAACGTTAGGCTATGTGATGTAAAACTGTTTCACTTGATCTATAGACATGAATGTATGTTACGATCAAAGCCCGAAGCACAATGAATTTTTAAAGCATTAATTACAACTTCCTATATCAAGTTCGATTTACCGCGCAGTGTTCATGTTCATTACATACGCAATTGTTTTTAATCATGCAACTATTGTAATCGAAATTTTAAAGCACTCGGAAAAAATTCATAAAATCGTTTTATTTACAAACTTGTATGTAATAATGCATTAAAAAGAAGAAAATAAATGATTTTCTTTAAATATTCAATAATGAACTACTACTTAAATTACTAAAAAGAAAAGCGTGGATCGCTTCTGAAATTCTAGCAATGGTATTCAATACATAACCTCAGTCTTGTGACAAATGCTCATCTCGCAAAGTAGAACTATACCGTATTTCTCCCGGTAACCGTACAGTTGTAGTGAACTTATGTAACCTATTAAAAACATTACCACTACAATGAAAACGAGCTTAACTTTTTTCAAGTCTAATAAGAAAAGAAAGCACAAATCCTCTTAAATATTAGTGCGATACAGAACAGATCTTTGTGTTCGTTTAGATACTCATTAGAATATATTAATTGTATTCGCCCAGTATAATTAAAAGAATGAAGAGGTGGGATTGGGCTTAAGGGGAAATAATAATAATTAAGCCTTTTACTATAAATAGCTAAAATTAAAGTTGTTGCTTCCCTTAGTTCACAAACATTTGAATAAAACAAATAAAAATATACTTTTATACTAATAAGCTTTTAAATGCACTGCAAAAATAAATTTTAAAAAAATTAAATTAAAATATTAATCGCCAAAATATATAGGAGATTTTATTAGTGTCCAATTATTGTATAAAATCTTATTATTACAAAGGTTTTGTAAATTTATTTTTTATTTTCAACTGTTTAGTAATTTGTTCTCAATTAACTCAACATCACACACAGTTTCTTCCGGGCATCTCTTCGGGGGGGGGGGGGGGGAGGATGGCTCCAAAGAAAGTCTACCGCCCCCCCCCCCTCGAAATGAAATGAAATTTATATAGAAAATATATACTTTTAACAGTGACCGCACCCCCCCCCCCCCCCCCCCCCGGAGAAAAAGTCTGGGAGAAACACTGACATCACAAACGACTAAAAGATATCCTTTAAAACCTGATCAGTAGCTTGTGATCTATATAAAGTATCTGAAACCTATCAGTAGCTTGTGATCTATATAAAGTATCTGAAACCTATTAGTAGCTTGTGATCTATATAAAGTATCTGAAACCTATCAGTAGCTTGTGATCTATGTAAGACACGTATCTGAAACCTATCAGTAGCTTGTGATCTATGTAAGACACGTATCTGAAACCTATCAGTAGCTTGTGATCTATGTAAGACACGTATCTGAAACCTATCAGTAGCTTGTGATCTATGTAAGACACGTATCTGAAACCTATCAGTAGCTTGTGATCTATGTAAGACACGTATCTGAAACCTATCAGTAGCTAGTGATCTATATAAGACACGTATTTGAAACCTATCAGTAGCTAGTGATCTATATAAGACAAGTATCTGAAACCTATCCGTAGCTTGTAATCTATATAAGACAAGTATCTGAAACCTATCAGTAGCTAGTGATCTATATAATACAAGTATCTGAAACCTATCAGTAGCTTGTGATCTATATAAAGTATCTGAAACCTATCAGTAGCTTGTGATCTATATAAAGTATCTGAAACCTATCAGTAGCTTTTTATCTATATAAGACACGTATCTGAAACCTATCAGTAGCTTGTGATCTATGTAAGACCAGTATCTGAAACCTATCAGTAGCTTGTGATCTATATAAAGTATCTGAAACCTATCAGTAGCTTTTTATCTATATAAGACAAGTATCTGAAACCTATCAGTAGCTTTTTATCTATATAAGACAAGTATCTGAAACCTATCAGTGGCTAGTGATCTATATAAGACAAGTATCTGAAACCTATCAGTAGCTAGTGATCTATGTAAGACAAGTATCTGAAACCTATCAGTAGCTAGTGATCTATATAAGACAAGTATCTGAAACCTATCAGTAGCTTGTGATCTATATAAGACAAGTATCTGAAACCTATCAGTAGCTAGTGATCTATATAAGACAAGTATCTGAAACCTATCAGTAGCTAGTGATCTATATAAAACAAGTATCTGAAACCTATCAGTAGCTTGTGATCTATATAAAGTATCTGAAACCTATCAGTAGCTAGTGATCTATATAAAACAAGTATCTGAAACCTATCAGTAGCTAGTGATCTATGTAAGGCACGTATCTGAAACCTATCAGTAGCTTGTGATCTATATAAGACAAGTATCTGAAACCTATCAGTAGCTTCTGATCTATATAAGACACGTATCTGAAACCTATCAGTAGCTTCTGATCTATATAAGACACGTATCTGAAACCTATCAGTAGCTTGTAATCTATATAAGACAAGTATCTGAAACCTATCAGTAGCTTTTTATCTATATAAAATATCTGAAACCTATCAGTAGCTTGTAATCTATATAAGACAAGTATCTGAAACCTATCAGTAGCTTGTAGTCTATATAAGACACGTATCTGAAACCTATCAGTAGCTTCTGATCTATGTAAGACAAGTATCTGAAACCTATCAGTAGCTTGTAATCTATATAAGACAAGTATCTGAAACCTATCAGTAGCTTGTAATCTATATAAGACAAGTATCTGAAACCTATCAGTAGCTTGTAATCTATATAAGACAAGTTTCTGTCCCTGATACTCAGTGGTCGACTCTCAGGCAAAAAAAAACGTAAAAAATATACCATGCTCTATTTTAAATAAGCACAAATTTTCTTAGGGCCCTCGCTAAAAGCATCTATACTTTAATAGGAATTTTAGGGTTATAGTCTTACAATTAGTGCATTTAAAATCGTGTTTTAACTAACTCTTGTTTTGTTAAATTTTCAGTTTGTTGTTATAACGACCGACTTTCTCAAGCGACATTATCAATTTAACATGCACAGTCACAAACATCGAAATGGTATTTTTTTAGTTGTCTTCTCCTGAATGTGAACTACACATTCGCTGTGATGCTCTGTCAGCACATAGAGTATGGCGGTACTCGCGAGTTCTACTTATGGCAGAGTTTCTTCCAGGCATCTCTTCGGGGGGGCGAAGCCCCCCCGAAAAATTTTTACCGCCCCCCCGAACGAAATGAAATTTATATAATTTATATAGAAAATATATACTTTTAACAGTGTCCGCCCCCCCGAAGAAAGTTTACCGCCCCCCCGAAGATTTCAAGTGCCCCCCCGGAGAAAAAAGTCTGGAAGAAACACTGACTTATGGATATGGCTCGTGGTAGATCTACCTGTTTCCTCGTCAAAATAACAATCCGGTGTTAAATTAATTTAGTAGACCTGATAGTTTTTCTATTGAAATTATATAATAGTTATTAAATTTTATAAACAATTTGGTTTTCACGTTCCTAAATATAACACAGTGTAATTGCCGCTTAAACCGATCGGCCTCCGAAGTGAAATGTTAAATAAACAAAAGGTAAAACCACTAAATGCGTAATTTTTTTTATCGTCATCACAAGTTCGTGAAATCATAGTGGTTACTATACTTCAATTTACACAGTTTTTTAATGTCTTATTGCGTTCTTATCTCCGTGCTTGCAGGTTTTTGAAATAAGATCTCAATAAATAATGGCAACAATTGTTATGACGTGTCAATGGGGAATTCCCAAAGAATTTCAAATTTTGGAAATCACGTTGTTAGTTTATCGGGTTTTCCCAAGCGGCCAATGACGAGAGGCCATTTTTTTCTATTAAAATTTTCAGCTCTTGGAGAATATTTATAAGCAAGAGATGGTTGAAGAGGAAGAAATGCACAGTTTGCTTCTAACTCTGGCTATCGTCGCCACTAGGTAAGTGCCACTGCTAACAGTTTATTAAATAGTTTATGCATAAAATTATAAATAGCTGAAGCAGTAGGTTTAGACCTGTTACAGTAACAAACTGATGTGCCACACTTGCACATATGAGTATTTGCGATACAAAAATTCATCTAACTCCGAAATTAAAACTAGACTCTAGGTCTAACGTGATGCGAACTTTATCTGTGAAAGTTAAAATATTTAAAGTCTCTATGGCATCAGACGTGTATGTGGGTACGGTTAATCTACTTGAACAAATCGTACTAATTAGTAGTAATTAGCGCTAAGAGGAACAAAAAAGTGTAAAGGCACATGCCGTGTATGAAAGTTCTGATGCAGTTAGTTTGTTAGTGTAAATAAAATACTAAATGTGCAGAACGTGCAAGCTATAAGCAATCAGGTTTTAAAACATATAAAATACAGTGTAGATCACCACACACAGAGGGCTTAAACAAAACCGTCCCCCAGACACACACACACACACACACACATATATATATATATATATATATATATATATATATATATATATATATATATATATATTTATATTTATATTTATATATATAAAATTATATATATAAAATTATATATACGTATATATATATGTATATGTACATATATAAAAGTATTTGTATGTGTACATATATATAAGTATTTGTATGTATGTATATATATATATACATATTCATACATATACTTTTATATATATATATATATATATATATATATATATATATATATATATATATATATATATATACATATATATATATATATATATATATATATATATATATATATATATATATATATATATATATATATATACATATATATATATATATATATATATATATATATATATATATATATATATATATATATATATATATATATATATATATAATATATAAATTTTCGCCCAGGCCACGCCTCTTTGACAATATATTACCCGTCGTTGAAGATTACCGCGCGCTCATTAGGTCTGTTTGTGGATGAGTAGGATCAGGTTACTCATCTATGTCCCAGCTTGCCTAATGGCCGCCGTTATTACATGACTCAGAACGACAGCAGCACGTGTATCACTGTATGCCCGTCTGTGTAATACATGATTTCGTTCTCACCTTGATAAAGAAAATCAGTTGTCTTTAACAAATAAGATAATTGCTTGTAGTTATGTTAGTGCTGTCGCCTATATAGAACGTCTTTATCCTGGTGTATGATACATGTGAGGACGGGATACTCACGGTAACGTCGCTAGAAAATGACTTCTGTTGTGGTAACTTATGAGAGTGTCGTTATACTTGGTCAGACATAAAGCAGAGAACGTCGTTATACTTGGGGACGATGTGTCCGAAAGTCTCGGGTTCGAATCCGGGCTCAAGGTAGCAGAACTTCCCTGAGTTCACACAGTTCTAATGGGTACCTAACTCACGTTAGGAAAAGCAAAGGTGGCTGAGCATAGTGCTGACCACACTATACCTTCAAATGCCTAAGTCACATAAACAGGTGAACTCTACTTCATTTTCTCCATGGACCCTCAGGGTTCGAAACGGGAACTTTACTTATTAAATTAAACGTGTAATTATTTAAAGTTATAATATAACAACACAATTCAAGTCATTCATGCACACTAATGACACGTGTTTCATATATAGCCTACACGTAAGGTGTTAGCGTCAGCTTTATATAGAGAACTTCTTTAGAGATTTCTCAAACCTTCTATAAGTGCAGTCAGTAATGATTCCTGCAGTTTTTCCTATAACATGACAAAAACAACACACGAAATTAACGTTTTGTAATTTCGTAGCAAAAAGTGGATTTATGTGATTCATGGTCGGCGCTTGAACGTGAAAGTCAACGTCACGAGCGTGACAAAGAACGTGAGAGTTGACGTGACTTAACTAATAAGTCTCAGTTTCGCTAAGTTTTGGTTTGTTTACTTTTCAAAATAATTTTACGTTTAAAATCGTTCATCTTGTGTGTATAAAATATTATTTCCCTTGTGTTTGAAAATAAATACCATTGTGTGTTAAAATATATATACATATATATACATATATATATATATGTATACACCAGTGTAGACAAATAAATGTAACATATCTAAGGCAAAGAAAATGTCGTGGTCAGGAATTCCACTAAATAAATTTGATTTTAACGTTTGTGTACGAATTGTGCAAGCTACATTTCTTTAAAAACAAAACCCGAATAGCTTTCCGCCCCGATATTAGTAATAGCTGAAACATTGGTTGTCCTAGATTTATATTTTTAAAGAGCTTTTAGCCTCTATAAATATAAAATAAATATCTATAGGAGCTTTATAGTTATTCTATTCTATTAGCCTAAATATTTTTCTTAAAGTATATTTGTATAGCTATGGGCGGATCCCGGGAGGTAGATAAATGCCTAGCCTCTCGCTTCCGCCCCTCCCCAATATTTTGTATAATCTAGCTCTTCACTACAGTCAAAGGCTAGATATAATACATAATCATATATATATATATATATATATATATATATATATATATATATATATATATATATATATATATATATATATATATATATGTATCCCGAGAGGTAAAGTTAACGAACAGACACACAGATTGTCTTTCCAATAAATGTGAAATATTTTTTTATTTAATTCAGCATTTCTAGCAATGAGGGCCTTGTAAATCACATGTCCCAGTATTCCCATATGTTGTCTGTAACTTATACATACATCCCTGCATACTACAGATTTATCATATCATATATATCGAATATTGTTGTACACCCACTCAGGGGGCGAGGTTTGATCACGTGGTTATCTCAACTTGTAATGACGTGGTTTTATATTTAACTATCGAACACGTAGGCGAACACGCAAAGGCATAAACACCTATCACGTGACTGGCCCCACGTGTTTTTATCAAACTGCGCACTGAGCGATAACTAAGACGTAATAACTCTGTTGAGTAATAGATTGGTGCTGGCTTCTATCCGGGTCACTCGGTATAGTCTTTATATAGTCGCGGTGTTGGCTGGGTATTTGCTCGTTTGGTGTTGGGGTAGTGTCAGAATAATTACCTGTTTGTTATTGTCAGCCCATAGTGAGCATGGTATTTTCTTGTTTGGTGTTTGAGTGTTGGCAGGGTATTTACAGGGTATTTCCGTAGTATAGTCATGACATTCTGTGTTCAAGCAATAGAACGGAACAAAGTAGCTGGTCACAAAATTAATGTATTAGTGATGTTTAGAAATAAACCCCCGTGGAAAACCTACATTGACAACTGCATCACATCACAATACAGGTATACTGTCGCTTTCGATGCTTTCAGTTTCAATCCTGTGAATGTCATGAACATCCCTTTCTCAAAATCGTTATAGAATAAATACACACACAAACTATATATATATATATATATATATATATATATATATATATATATATATATATATATATATATATATATAGTCCGATAGCACTAGACTGCTATACCGAAATTCTCGAGTTCGGATCCCGGACTAAAGTCTATAGGACGTCCCTGAGTCTACCCGTCTACCCAGATCTGATGGGTACCTGACTCACGTTAGGGAAGCAAAGGCGTAGTACTCACCATATGATATCACCCTTTAAAATGAGGTTATTGAAACAGATATACTTTATCTCATCTGGCCCAATTGTCTTCGGCACGAATTGAACATATACACAAAAGAAAATTAATGGGAAATCCCGGACAGTCTAAGGTTTTAAAAATAGACATCGCTACTCTTTGCCCTACTTAATAACATATTAGGGTGAGTGAATGATTATAGATCTAGTAAAGTAGAAAATAAAGTTCCCTTTCAAAGCTGACGGTCTATAGGGCAAGTGAAGTAGAGTTCACTTGTTTCTGTGACATCGGCATATGAAAGATTATCGTAAACTACTTAAATTTATTTTTAAAAATGATGAATCACCTAGCTATTTTAAGACACGATCTACTTTTAAATAAGTACAATGTATATGTTATAAGTGAAACATTTCTAAACTTTTGAATGTATGTATGACAAAAAGTTAAAGATCGGCCATAAATTAAAAACGTAAGTTATTTTCGATATCTTTTTTCTTTATTTATATATTTATAGACGACCAATATAAACAGTAACCAATTATCTTCGTGTGTATATATATATATATATATATATATATATATATATATATATATATATATATATATATATATATATATATATATATATATATATGGTTGGGGACTAGGCAAGATTTATTGGACGCGTGTGGAAGAAGAAAAAAGGGGATCAAACATTGATATAATATTTAAGGATGTAACAAATTGTGAACCCCGTATAAAATAATCGACTTGATTCAAGGCAACAACTTCCAATTTTAGTAAAATTTAATAGGAAGGGTTTTTTAAAATGAGTACTAATCCCTACCATCGCCTACAACTGGGTTTTAGTGAAAGATTTCCGTAATGTTTAACTCGCCAATTTTAACTTATCGGGCAGTTAAACGCTTACCACTCTAATAATGAAGTATGTGTAATGAATATCGTCGTATCTTACACACGAGAACCCGGATGAAAAGAGAACTAACATAAATGTTTGCATAAGAAGCCATCAGAAAACTTTAGTATTAGATGACTCGTTTTGGGACTGGTGTCTTTCTGGGAATTTCTTTAGTACTACCTGTTCTGATTCATGCTCTGATTCATAGAGTTTCCTGAAAAACGGTGTTTATCTACACTTCCTATGTTGACAGTGACACGCCTCTAGCATTTGGCGATAGTGACACACAAATGACAGGGTGTGACGGTTGAACATTGTGTCACCTGGGTAGTTACCCACTTTGGTTTTAGAGCTACGCTGTTAAACCTTGGCGTTTTTTATGGTTTAACACACCTTTGTGTTCAGTTTTTATGTGATACACCTGTATGTTTAGTTACAACTTTACACACTAGATTAGTCTCATCTTAACAAACCCATTTTTTTTTAAATTC